GCCGTATGAAAGTCAATTTGATTGATAAATAATGTTTATCCATCAAATTACCGAGCTAAACGTCACGAAGTCATACGACCAATGGCGTGAGAGTACGGTTTTATCTATTTCTTAGGAAAACGATTGACCACCAAACGTTTTAATGACGATATTTGTGACCACCAAACGATTCCGCGTCGATTGAGCCGTATGAAAGTCAATTTGATTGATAAATAATGTTTATCCATCAAATTACCGAGCTAACGTCACGGAGTCACACGACCAATGGCGTGAGAGTACGGTTTTTTCTATTTCTTAGGAAAACCATTGACCACCAAACGTTTTAATGACGATATTCGTGACCACCAAACGATTCCGCGTCGATTGAGCCCTATCAAAGTCAATTTGGGTGATAAATACAATTGTTCCGACTACGCGCATACGGTTTTTTCTATTTTCTGGGAAAACGGTTGACCACCAAACGTTTTACTGGTGATATTCGTGACCACCAAACGATTCCGCGTTGAATGAGCTATAAAAAAGTTAAATTGGTTGAAAAATAAAAATTGTCCGGCTAACTTCACACCGGAAATTTCATTTTTATTTTACAGGAAAACGACTAACCACCAAACGATCGGACTAGACTACCAAAGACCACCAAACGACCACCAATCGATTCCAATTAATGAAAGTTCGATACGTTGAAGTTGTCCGGCCAACTTCATAGAGGTGGTCGATTTAAGGGGATCCGAACAAGTCCATAATACGTGCCTGGTTAGTTTTTCCTATCCAGTTGGTAGGCCAAATATTCATTCGTCCCGCCATTCCCGCCAATAGTGCTAATACGCCGGCCCTGTTCTCATCTGTTTCGTCGAGATATATACCGCACGCGATCGTGTACATACAAAGGAGTATCGTGTCGCATCGTATTTTCGAGCTCCTCGATGAGTTTTTCAAGTTTTGCCTAATGAAATGACACGGCTCACCGTTCCGCAACGTGTTCGCTCGCGCGCTCGCCTGTAGAACGTACTCGCCGCGCGATTTCCAGATCGGGGCGGAATGACGACCCAGGAAAGCCAAATCGATGTAAACATTTACCTTGTCGTACCGAGTTACCTGAAGTCCAAGGATGATTGCGGCGAGGAAATGTGGGAGGCATTTAACGTTCGTACATTCTCGTAATTCGCTATAGCTGAAGTCTTTCTTGCCTCCGTTTTTTTTTTCAAATGTCAATACTTGAAAGATACACGGAACCTCAAGTTCCGCGTACTTCAATATTTTTTGTCCCTTTCGATCGCGCCTTCTTTACCTTCTTTTATCGTTTTTGAAAAATTTTCATTCTGTTTATTAGAAATGCTCCGACCTTAGCTTGTGCATAGAATGGATTACTGAAAAGTCTTGCAGTAAGATAAAACCATTGAAAACCGATGTATTTGTTGTGGAGGAATTCAAGGGTGATTTGTTTGAGAAGCTGAAGACCTTCAAATGCTCGTAAGTTTGCAAGCGACTAACTTTTGCTGTAGATAAGTTCTTAATTTAAAATATAAATTATTAATTACGTTATAACATTACTATCAATTTGTATTCTGGCAGAATAGTCTCGCCAAAGTGCCTGCTTATTTGTCTTACAAATGGAGAACCAATACCAGAAGGGCGGAATCCAATATATACGACGTCCATGAGAAAAATGTGTGTTTGTGCATCAGGTTTTAATCCAGAAATTAAGGTATGACCATTGTGGCAATTTTCTATATTTTTCTAACTTTAATTATTTGCGAAGGTGGTACAATCGCTGGCCATATTATTAAGGCCTGTGTCCACAATGCTAGAACTTGGCCCAAGTTCTCAGACCAAGGAAAAGTTACTGAAACTTGGATCGTGGATACACTGAACTTGGATGCAAAACTGGTGTGTCCACGATCCAAGTTTTAGTAACTTTTCCTCGGTCCAAGAACTTGGACCAAGTTCTAGCATCATGGACACTAAAGAAACATCTTAATTTTTTATTACAATTCAGGTTAAAGAGAAAAAAATTTTACATTTATATTTATAAAAAAAACTTCAATGTCTTTGAACAATGGTAAATAATAAAACATAGATTTGATAGTAATAATTATATATTTATTTATTTTTGTCAATTATTTAAGCAGTTATAAAAAAAATATTTTTAACATTTAGTCAAGCTGCCTTTGACATACCTACTATTAATGCATGTTTTATTGTCTTCTACATTGTTATTATCAACAATACAACTGACGCAGGGTTATACTTGTTTACTCTATCATTGTTATTACTGTATTATATATTTTTCTCAGAACAATAGTTTCTTAACATATATATATTGATGAATTATAACAATGATAGATGAGCTAGGATGTGCTAGGAAGTCAATGATTAGGGATTGTATGTCAGGGATTGTAGTTTTAATCATTATTACAGGATTGGATACAACAACGAGTTGAATATATGGGAGGTTTCTTCACAAAGCAATTAAGAAATAGTGTCACACATTTAGTAACTGATTCTGTGATGTCAGCAAAGTATGAGGTATGATTGAACTTATGTAATTAACGTACGTTTTATGAATAATATAATTCATATTATTTTCATTGAAATATTTATAGAGAATTTTGTCATGTAAAATGAGAAGTTGTATCTCATATATGTAAATTTATTAAGTATTATCTAAATGTGTATGCAATCTTTAAGTATTTTATTTTTATGTACTGTAAAAAGATTCTTATAAAATTATTAAAATTGTAACTTCTTCCGCAATATTTATTAACAGCTCTGTTTTTCAGACCGCTATAGAAATGAAGATACCAATTATGACAAAGGAATGGATAGAAGCTGTGTGGGAAGCAAATTTGAAAAAGGTGGTAAAGGCGGATGATAAAATTTTTGATAAATATAAATGTCCAGTTTTTATGAATCTAGTAGTTACTTCAACAAATCTGCACAAACGTCAGAAAGAGGAAATTAAACGTTTGATACATGATTATGGAGGAGTGAGTTAAACCTTATGCAATGTATATGGGAGTAGTAAAATGTTTAGCAATTGGCTGTAATGTTATACGTGCGTTTTGCAGACATTTATGGGTCCTCTTGATGGAACAAAAGTTCGAGTGGTTCTAGCTTCTGAAAGCGGTCCATTGAGCGACAAGTTAAAGTACGCCAAGGAAAACAGCATTCCCTGTTTGAGGCCTGACTGGGTGTACGAAAGTATTAAAGTAGGATACGCTCTACCTTTCCGTAATTTTATTATCAAATCTGTGAAAACGTGTTCAACACCAGAAAAACTAAATAGTACGTATATAATGACAGTAGATTATAATTTTTTAACAGCATTAGTTAGTTGGCTGTATTATTTACTTTAATATAATGAATAGCAGAATAATATTATTTATATACCTTTTAGCTCGAGAATTGCTCAATTGTTTAGAAATCAGCTCTATAGCACACGATAAGCATCCCAATAATTATGTAGATGAAAGTTTTAGTTCGACAATATCGAGAACATCAAATTTTCCCAGTGTATACCCTAGTACGGTAACTAGTAAACTCTCCGGTGGTAAGTATTAATTAATTATATGTCGTAGTTGAGATTTAAATAGAAAGCATATCTATATTTTGTTTTGTGTAGCCGCTAAGGTAAACGTATTGGATCGACTTACCTTCGGCGAAGCAAAATCAGCTGGACCGTTTCTGGATGGATGTAATGTAAATTTTTTTTAAAGTTTTCGTAACACGTTATGCTTTTCTTTCAATTTGAATTTTAGTTATCACCTTGTATCGCCTTTGCAGATTTACCTCGTTGGATTTGTGACAAGCGTCAGAGATAGGCTGAACAAAATATTAAACGTCGGCGGTGCGACGCGTTTTGATGAAATATCGGACGCTGTGACACATGTGATCGTTGGCGACGAGAATAAAGCGTCTGCGGAACTGAAAACGATAAAATCGAGAGGTTTATGGTATAGTAATACTGAATAAATAAGGCTTACAATTTATTTGCGTCCCAATTTGCAATAAAACTTATAACTATTTATAATTTAAGAAAATAGATATTTTTTAAAAAATAAACTTTTTCTTAAACATAAATAAGAAATAAAAAAAAAAAATTTTGACTTCAAATTTTACGAAAAGTTTATTATATACATATTATGTATAATCTATATAATCTATGTAGATGCTGTACGTAAGTGTACTTTTATATTAGCCATTTTTTTTGTTTTTATATCTTTAATTTTTAATTCTATTTTATTGTATACGTTTTATATTTTGGGCAGTCCTTACATATTAAACATAGAATGGTTGGAAGAGAGCATGAAACTGAAACGGCCTGCATCAGAAGAACTCTTTTTGTTTGAAGCAAAAGGTGGGGCACCTAAGAAAAATGTTGAGACACCCGCTTCACCGCTTAGTAAAAAGGTATACTTGATAAAATGTGTGTGTGTGTGTGTTTTACAGTAATTATAATTAATAAATTTATAATATTTATAATTCCTCAGAATGTTTTACAGTATCTTTTTTGCAAAATTTTTACAAAATTTTCACAGCTGTTATCTATTTGCTTTGGCTACTTAGAGTATTACAAAGACTAATATATGTATATTCATGACTGTTTTAGAATTTACAAATGTTGCAACGACCGAAGAAACCTTCTGTACCACTTTTCAATTTAGAAAAATTAATTGCACCCGTGAACGAAGATGAGCAACCGGATCTCGTACAGCAATATTTACAAGAAAATAATGGTAACAGCGTGGATTATCTTCTAACAATATATTTACGTCGCTTTACAAGCGTATTTTATACATATATTACTAATTAATTTTAAACAATGCAATATTCTCATAGGCAAAGTTTTTAAAAAATAGATGATTATTAAGTGGTACATAGATGCCTCGTTGTATAATTGTAGACAATTGTGTTACAGATTGTAGCAATGTCATACAAGAATTCACGAAGCCCCATACGCCTGTTTCGGCAGAGAAAGACCGAGAGAATTTGAGTAGCGCAAAGAATACGCGCACTAGCGAGATTTGTTCATCAGGTGTTTCATCGGATAAAAATGTGGAAAGTGATAATACTGTGTTGCTCAGCCAAAGTTGCACGTCTAACGAAAAGCCGCTCAAAGGTAAGATCTCTTTAATATTTTTATCTTTTGAGCAAATGATTTTATACATATATTATCTCTTATATTATTACTATAAAAGAATTTTCATATTTCTATTTTTTGAAGAAATGTTATTAATTCATACATCTATACAGATTTTTCTGAATACAATAATAAATATATATATGCAGGTTTAACGTTCGTCGTGGTTGGGTTTGACAATGAAGACACTCACATAGAAGAGACAATCGTAACGTTGGGTGGACGTTTAGTCCCGAGAACCTATAGCGGTATTCCGGATTATGGTGTCGTGCCTGTGCAAGGAGCACCCTTAAAATATACGGTTAATGAAATCGTGAACGATTTATTTATCGTAGGTATCTTATACATTAATTCCTCATTTTTAAAAAAGCTTAAAATCTATCTCTTTTAAGAATAAAAATAATGTATAAGAAAATTTTTACAAATTATCGAAATACCGTTTTTCAAAATGTAGGCTTGCAGTCTAAATCTATTTTTTAAATAATAAATGAATTTCATATACATTTTTTTAAATGTTGATAATATTATCAATTTTTGATTTGTTAATAGGAAGATTGTATAAATCAGGAACAAATCGTGGATATTATGTATTACCACAGGCCATTATCTATTAAAAAACCTTGTAATCCATTATCGGGATGCGTCATAACGATGAGCATGTATACCGGGGCCGAACGAGTGTATCTTTCCACGTTGGCTACGACACTTGGCGCTATGTAACGTATACCTGCTACTTATATTAGAATAAAACAAAAATCATGCATTAAAGTCTATGTATATAGAATGATTTGCATTATCGTGTAATTGGAATCTGGATGATTCTACATGATAAGAAATGTCAAAAATATAAACTTTGATAAGCATTTTTTTTAATATTTTCAGATGTCAAGATATGTTTGCACGGAAAGCTAACGCAGAGAGGAATACACATGGCAGTACGCATCTGGTTTGCCCGTCCCCGGAAGGAAACAAATATAACGCGGCCGTGAGATGGAAATTGCCGGCTGTCACTGCCGACTGGCTAAAGACCTGCGCGGATCAATTAACGCTCGTAGACGAAACTCCATTTCTCGTTGGGGAAACAATAGGTAAATTGATTACCTATGATTATATTTAGTTATTAATTATTCTTCATTTTTCTGTTTACTTTTTTTAACTAGCTTATGAGCTTTGTATTATGCAGACTCATCATTATGGAAATATCATAAATTTCAATATTTCGCCCATAAACTGAGAACTTATTTATCATTTTACATTCATATTTTTAAAAAATATTTTAAAAAATATTTAAAAAAAATAAATAGTAATATAATTTCTAAATCTTTCTTTTCACGCTTGTGTATAATTTTAATATACGTGTTGTGTTAATAGCACCAGATAGATCAAATATCAGCGAACCAAATCTCTCAAGTGTTCGCGAAAATAGAACAGGAGTAGAAGAAACCACACCAAGAATCATCATTACGCCGAAACGTCATTTATCTCAGATCAAAGTATGTATTATTTTACAGATAAAATAAGATTATTAGTATTTTTTTTATATACAACATATATTTATTTAATAACAAATGATTAAAATATGTAACGTTTGTATGTAAATTGAGTTTAACATGCTTGTAAAAATTTGATTTATTTAAAATTATTTTGTTTAAATATACAGCAAAATTTATTTTGGATTATAATTAATAATTTATTAATGTCATAGGACGCACCCTCTGCTGAAACTCCATTGATAAATAAGAGACTCAGTCTGGTAATGAACCAGACATCGAAGTCACCATTTCACGTGTCCACTCCAGAGACTCCGTATGGACAGGTCTTTAAGCCCAATCCTTCGCCGGACACGCGAAAAGGGTGGATCAAATGGGTAGATAATTTTCCGGATTTACAAATAGCAGAACCGCCTTTAAAACGACGCGCTCCTAGCACTGTGAGTATTATCTTCTCATATAAAAATGATTTCTATTTATGCGGTTAAATTAATATGTTATAATCGAGAACTATTTGCAGCCGCTTTCAGATTTGAAGAAACAGCTGTGGGAGAAACTGAAGAACACAAATCAACCTGAAAAAGTAAGATAACTATGTTCAGAAGCCGCGTGTAATCTCTGTGTTGCTGCGGCGAATATTTTATGTGAGGACAAAGTAAATTTGTGATATAATAAATTTGACATTGTGATATAATTAATCTTGCATAAATCATTTATAATGCTTGACATTTTCTAGTGATTTTATAAGTTACAGTTTTTAATGATTTTATAATTGTGATAGCATTAAAGAATATTATACAATTATCGCTGCGGTCCACTTGACGCTACAAATGCTTCGAAGCATTCCTCTTCTCTTTTCTTTCAATGAAGAAATAAGGAGAAGAAGAACGCTCCAAAGTATTTGTAGCGTCAAGTGGACCGCAGCCTATGTTTATCCAAAATTGCTTTATGTATTAGAGCACTGTATAATTATTTGAAATATGTATAATTATATTTTAATTATTGCTTTATTGAACTGCCAGGAACATAAATCGAGTGAAGCAATGAGACACGAGGATAGTAATACTTTTACGGAAAGAGCTGAGGAAGAAACCGACGATCAGACTAACAAAATAAATCCATCAACTCCTACGTCCACAACCCGAAAGCTCGTCTTTGATGAAAAAGATAGTCCGATGCCAAATAATGAGATAAACATGTACGTGCCTCTTAAATAAAATATAGTGTGAGATAAAATAATAAAATATATTGAATATAATAATATTATATAAGATATTTATGAACATAATATTTGTGATAAATATATCTAAAGAGATACATTGTTTTATGCAATATATTATTCTGTATACTACTTATATTTGTGAAAGTAAATTTGGATATTTTTGAATTAGGCAAATAGCGCAATTGGATCAAGTGCTTCAACGAACCTCGAGTACACCTGAAAATAGATACTCGCTGTCCGGGGAAAATGCGAAAAAGTATAACGAAGCTTCTGATGATATACAAAAATGTGAGTATTCACAAATTATAGATATATCGTTGAACCGATATTTCTAACTTTTGTAAAATGTTCACTGATTTATTATTTATTTTACAGATATGGTAAAAGACTCGCAACCTATTGATGCCATTGTATGGGAAGATCCGGATCACCCAAAGCGAGTATGATAATTTGTCCTTTCAAATGACTCACATATTTCGAAGATATAAGCTTTATTCTTGGCACATGTATTAACTTATTCAAAACAGAACGAATATACAATTCATGGTTTTGACGGTTTTTTCTATGTGAAATGAAAAATAAAAGTAAAATGGGTAGAAGAGTAAAAAAAATATGTGTAATTTGATGCTAATATATCAAGCTTATGAAATCACCAAGTAGAGTTTATTATATATCTTAACTATTGTGGTCGAATTGAGATAAATTTTGACATAAGGATCTTTGTCACGATATCGATTTAATTTTTTTATTTTTTGTGGATTTTATGGATTTGTGGATATTATCTTTTATGAGCACTCAATTGGTTTTTATGTATCAATGTTCTTGCATTTTTTAAATACTCTTATGCATCGATTTTATGTAGTATCTGTCTTTACAGTCAATCTTGAGTAAACGATCAAGTAAGGATAAACATAGCAACGTGATTAACGAAGAACATATCGAGGAAGATGTCGCAGAACAGAAATGTGAACCACCGACAACACGAAAATTTATGCTGTCGGGTATAAAGGTATTACGCCTTCAGATATACCGATATTGTTATTTTATCCGATTTTATCGATATTATTTTGATATATTTTAATAGGATAGAAACGTATATGAACGTATAATAAAGGATCTGGGCGGAGACGTGTCAACGGACACAAATTTCGATAATAGTGCCACACATCTCTTATGCATCAGGCTCTCCAGAAACGAAAAAATGCTTGGCAGCATAGCTGCTGGAAAGTGGGTCCTACATTGCTCATATTTACGTGATTCCGAACAAGCTGGCAGATTTCTCGATGTTAGTATTTGCCAAGTAAATTAATTAAGGCTATATCAGAGAATTAACACACAGTTGATACATTTTTTTGCCGACTTAAAAAAATCGAGGGGAAAAATGAAAAAAACTACCATTTTTATTGCATAAAACATGTATCGTGATTTACGTTTACGTTTCTACGATGTCAGCCGTGAATACAATTTTCGTAGGAGGAAGAGTACGAATGGGGCAATCCGAAGAACAAAGATAAGATTCCGGAGCCAAACAGTGAGATCGAGAATGCAATCGCAGCCGCGGCTTACAGGTGGCGGCAGAAATTGCAGAAAGAACTGGATGGCCCATTTTCCGACATAGTGGCTCTGCTGATGGTCTCCGAGGAGAAATACGATCAGTTTAAGAGACTGATTGAAGCTGGCGGCGGCTCGGTAATGCAAGCAAGGTGCGGTATTGAATCAGCTTCCAAAAAAAAGAGAAGAGTTCTATTTTCCATTGTCGTGATTCCTTCGATTTGATTGCAGACCACCCTATGATACCAGTCCGTCTGGACGCAGAATCACGCACTGCTTTGTCAACGTAAAACAAGTGAGCAATGTTTTATTTTTTGAAATACATTTCAAAGTACAATGCAATTCAGGAAATTGGGACCTAAAATGATGAGAAATGCCTGTTGCCCTGCAGAGAATTTATGACTGTATATATGCGTTACTGTTAATTTATAATCTGTTTTGAAAATAAAATATTTTATTATTATAAACAGATAAACCAACCTGTCGACTGGGCCATGCTGGCTAGTAAGGGCATTCTCTGCTTTTTGCCGCAATATCTCAGTGATTATCTGACAGAAGTGACGCCGCTCAATCCGCGAGATTGCGTACTCCCAGAATTCAAGAAATACCTGACGTTACTCCCCAAGTAGTCAGGTTGGAATTGAAATTACGTTTAAATTTACAAATATGAGCGTTCACAAAATATCAGCGATTTGATAAGATATGCAGAATACAGTAGTGTACATAGCGAGTTTATGTCAAAGAACTGAAATAAAGGTCTCTTGTATAGAAAAACAATCAATTGGCTGATTGATAAGTTTGTTTGTTCTTCTGTTACTTTCATTACATTACAGTTATATTTTGCACAGTTGTTTCACAGAGGATTTTTCGAAATCTTTGTTTCTTGAGACGTGTAACCATATAATGTCTGGTACTGTCAGATAATTGACAGAATTACAAATCAATTGTATAATATTAATAAAATTAATATAATTATTATAAATTGTATAGAACTTCACTAATAATCATGGCAATTGCACTTCCACTATAGAGAGCCATTTCCACTATAGAGGCTTATGCCCTACTAACATATCCATCAGTCAAAATATTTCCAATGCACTTCCTAAAATAATACAAACGTATAAATTGCAATTGATATACCTATCACTGCATATCGCTAACGCGTTATATCTTCTTGAAATCCAGCAGGAATCCTGCTGGTGGCGAGGTGAATACGTTTCGCGGATCGTAAGGGATCTTCCATGAAGGATTCAGCGCAACCTCGTAATCACGTAGAATCGCTATCAGTCCCACGGCGGTTTGCAAAGTTCCCAGCCGCATACCTAACGATCAAATAGAATTAAGTCAAAGAAGATCGAGGAAGAATTTGCTGGTTGTAGGCCGATTTAAATCTTTTCTTTTATATTTATGTCAAGATGAAGCGTACGATTAAAATTTAATTGTAATTTTTTTAGTATTAATGAGTACTTTTTAAACAGTAATCAAAATCTTGAACGAGATTTATGATACTTGGGAAGAATTAAAAAGTAATTCTCTATCCCTCTCTCTTTCTCCCTTCTGCTTCTCTTTCTCTAATCGCTATTATTCCAGAGGAAGCAAAGAAACGCGTAAATCTTATGATAATGATAAATGTCGCATTCTCCAGTAAATTCTATTTTCTTTTTTAAATTTGTCTATGTGAACGGATTCGATTTACCGACCTATGCAATTCCGTGGACCCTCTCCGAAGGGCAGGAAAGTGCAAGGTACAATCTCGTCCTTTCTCTCGTCGCTGAATCGCTCGGGATCGAAACGCGTAGGATCCCGATAGTACCTTGGATCAGACTGAATACCACGTAACACGACGTATACCGGTGTGCCCTTCTCGATAGTTATCTTTGTACCAGGAAACTGCAATTTATCTTTGTTGTAATTATAATTTATAATTTAATGCTAAAAAAAAAAGATTTTTAATAACAGATTTTTTTGCCAATTTAAAATTGATTAAAAAATAAATCAAATCGTATATATATATATATATATATATCTATCTACTATCTAGCGAAACCACTGCCAAGGGAACGGGCTTGGAAAAATTAGCGGGGAAAGAAGACCCTGTTGAGCTTGACTCTAGTCTGGCACTGTAAGGAGACATGAGAGGTGTAGCATAAGTGGGAGATGGCAACATCGCCGGTGAAATACCACTACTTTCATCGTTTCCTTACTTACTCGGTTAGGCGGAGCGCGTGCCCCGAGGGCTTCGTGCCCCGGCGGTCACGGTGTTCTAGAGCCAAGCGTGTCAGAGTGGCGTGAGGCCTCGCGGCCGATCGCCGTTAATACTCCCGCGTGATCCGATTCGAGGACACTGCCAGGCGGGGAGTTTGACTGGCGGGGAGTTTCGTATATATATATATACGAAAATAGTAAATATATATATATATATATTTTAAATTGGCAAAAAAATCTGTTATTAAAAATCTTTTTTTTTTTAAGGGTGAAGAGATTGTGTCTGTAATACAATGTAAAATCTGTTATTAAAAATCTTTTTTTTTTAAGGGTGAAGAGATTGTGTCTGTAATACAATGTACAATATCTCACTGTGTAATTGCTGATAGGAACTCTATCGAGGAGCGGCGCAGGCGGATGAAGCCTCAGCGTTTCATTCATCACTTGATGCAGATACTTCATATTATGGACCGCTTCGTATGTTACACCATTTGCATCCTGGATTGTCTGGAGGATCTCCTCCCTCAGGCGTTTTTGCATTTCTGGATTCTTAGCCAATTCGAAAAGAGCGCAGGTCATAGTAGTAATGCTGGTCTCACGACCGGCCACGAAGAAGATCGCTGCTTGTGCAAAAAGAACGTCCGCCTCGAATCCTGGAGAAAATAGTAATGAAAGTAGATCGTATTTTTTATTATCATTTACGTAAAGTGATAAAAACAATTTGAAATTAATACGGATGATTGAACATTTTTGCGTTAAAAATGTGTCACATAGATTTTATTATAATTAATTATTGTATGTAGTAAACATCAGTTGCAAGTAAAGACTCGTTTTTGACGTAGAACTACGTCTTTCTCAGGGGGTATGGGGGTATGACTGCAACGTTTTCTTGCAACGTTTTCATGCAACGTTTTCTTTTTCTCGAAAAGTATTAAAGAAAAATATACTTTATTATATAGTTTTTGAAAGCTCTCGATGTAAGCTAAATGTTTTCGTGGTTAATTTTTCGATATGGGTTTGTTCTCGAAAAGTATTAAAGGAAAATATACTTTATTATATAGTTTTTGAAAGATTTCGATGTAAGCTAAATGTTTTTGCTCATCGTTGGTTATGTTCTCTTGATACTTCATCGATTTTTCGAAAATTTTTTAATATTGGGAATTTTGGATAGTGCGACCTCTTCGTTGGTTGCTAAATGTTTTCGCTCTTCGTTGGTTATGTTCTATTCTAATAGACGTAGTTCTACGTGTTAATTGCGGCACAGTTGCTACTGTGCTTGTTATTTTTATTAAATTAAAAGAAATTTGAGATATTTAGTATTAATTGGGTGCGTGAAAATTTGAAACAAAAAAGGGCGCATGGGGTGCAACTTATACACTTTACATTATTTATGCTATAAATATTAAACCAATTAATATTTTTGATTTTCTGGTTAATATTATTCATTGTTGCACATATCTTAAAGTATATTAATAAGTTGAAACTTTTTTAATTTTAATGTTTTTTCGATAATAAATAATCGGTTCTGTATTGAAACGAGTCCAGAACACTCATGTTTTACAAGCTATTGTAAAATACACATCACGCGCTTACTGGAGGGTTAATACTAAATATTGAATATCTGTACACATTAATTAAGTACTCACGGAAATTAGTATTATCTGATGACTCATCTTTTAGTTGTAAAAGAGAATCGATTAGATCTCCCCGTTTCATTTTCGTAACGCTTCTATTGTCCATAGAGTCCCAAAAGACTTTGCGGAAATAATCCGTGTATTTGCCCAATATCGAGCTGCCTAGATACTGTCCGATCTTCGGCAAGAAGAATAGGAAAAAGAATTGGAAGGACCTTAACAAGGTCTGGTTGAAAGCCTTACGTGCTGCATAAATAAGCATGTAAAAAGACTATACGTTGCAAAAAGTTGTAGAAAAAGGATGAGAGAAGAAGAGAGATGTGTAACTGTTATAGCATTTTTAAACTCGCACTCATATTACTTATATTTATAATTTTACTTACAGTTTACATAAAATTCTGGCGGTGATGTGTCGTAGCAGTTTACTCGAATCCCAAATGCCACGGAGGATATCACGTCGGTGGTGTATTTGTAAAACGTGTCCTTGACAGTTATCGGCACGGTTTTGGATTTGTCCCTAATCTGATCGCGCAAGTGATCCCTCATCTTTTCCCCTGACTCTTGCATCAGCAGAAAGAGACTCTTCAGCTTACCGCTCGTGAACACCGGTGACATTTTCGTTCTGAATGAGAAGCAGTCTCTTGATAATTGCAACATTTTCTGATTATAAAATCATTTTATGCTCTGGTATGTTTTAGGTATATTTCTTATCCTTTATCCTTTTTCTATGTCTCTCTTTCTGATAGCATTCTTCGACAGTCTATTTGCAAAATGACTATTTTTTTCAAATGGTCGTCGGTCATTATGGTTCAATGATCATATTATTATGATTTATGTAACATGTATCGTTTACCTTAGATGTTTCCATTCAGGATTTTCTATGGTGAAGAGAGTCCATTTGCCGACTGTGTCGCCCTTGGACGCCCCCCTAAAATGATGATTTGAGAACACATTGAAGTCCCTGATCATTATTTGCTTTATCAGTTCCGGATTCCTTAGAAGCAGGAACGGCTTGTGCAGGATGTAGATCCCCAGGACGTCATCTTCATCCGCAGCTTGCCGGTGTAGTTCACCGAGAATCACTCCTGCTGGCCTGCGGAACAGGATCGCATCCTTGAAGTGGCCGAAGAACCAATGTGCGGGCAACGTAGGTACACCACGTCTTTGCCAATAAGTGTGTTTCCATTTCATCCACAGGTAAAGCGTCGCGAATAACAATGAGAATATCACGAGCGTGTCCAAAACAGCGCATTCGGTTAATATCGCCATTTTTTGCGCAAATCACAAGTAAAATCTGCAACTTTGTATAAAACTCGGATTAAATTATGAAACATTGTGAACTTCAAACAAAACTTTTCTCTGCATAAAAATCCATTTGAATTACATAAGATTGCGCAAATTATGCGGAAAATTTAGTTAAAAAACTCTGTGCATACTTTGTAGAAGCTACGTGCAGATCCAAATGCTGCGTAGAACTGCGGGTTATTATCAAAGATGAGAGTTTAAATAAGTATCGACGCATTTTGCGAAGTCACTTATCAATGAAGTGGATATTTGTTATCGTCTGATATACTAGGTGTCATAAAAATTAACAGAAATTGCAGCAGGAAAAATTGGCAGCAAAGATGAGGTAACGAAAATGCATTTGTTTTATTTTGAGCCATAATACTTTTCTAAAATTATTTAGTTACGAATCTGAGGCTGTGATTAAAGAGTTGTCCATCGCGAATTACGTGCATATTAGTGCTTGATCTTTTGTCTAGCGGCGCTTGATCGCGCGAAATGCACAGTTATTTATATCACATTATATGCACGATCGGAATGAAAAACTTAATGCATCTTCATTAGTTCCTTATTTATTATTTCCTCCATTTGAATTATGTAACATCTTACGTATTCAAATAAACTTGCTATGAAAGAATTTGATGTGCATATCTGGTGATACTGAAGTAGTACGAATTAACGTTATTTAATGCGTTAAGTAGTTCGAATTATAAAGTGTTAAAGTGGGCGCATTTTTTTTTATTTCGGTAAACTTGTTTTTATATTGACATGCATTTGCATGAACATGAATTATATATGTTTTATAGTATTATTAGCAGAGTTTCTAAAGATGTATATTATTATATTATTATTAAAACATATTAAAACAAAAATATTAGAAACATTCATGTTCATGCAAATGCGTGTCAATATAAAAACAAGTTTACCGAAATAAAAAAATGCGCCTACATATATATATATAAATATATATATATATATATATATATATATATATATATATATATATATATATATATATATATATATATATATGCTTGTATATACAAGGTGTTTCAAGTTTTTCCGCACAAACTTTAATAGTATATTCTAGGAGCAGAAATAAGAAAAACATGTTATATAAATATATGTCTCAAAATGCTTTATTAGAAAGTTATAGCAAAAATATGAAATGCGTAAGAAACAATTTTACTTAAGTTTGCATTTCGAAGAGCCGTCCGTCTATGTCAATACAAGCTATACATCGATGTAATATTTAATTTATCACCCTAAGAATTTGAATCCGTCAAGTGTAATTGTAAATAAAGATTGATAAAGACTGTATGATGCGGCACTTTTCTGTTAGGAAATCTTCGTTAATATTCTCTTACAGAAGCCTTTGCATTTCCTGCGTACAAACTGTACACATAATAAATATCTGTGTATTCTTTGTTTGTGAAAATTTACGGCATTTTGGATAATGTTTTACAAAGTACTGCTCGTTATTAATATTCATACAAGTTTTTATCATCATTTTTAATCATTTTAAATCGTAAACACGACTAGAAGAAGCAGATAAGATAAACATTATTGATCTGCGTATCAGTTTATGTATACGACGTGTTACTTATTTATTACTACGTTTACGCGAGCGTTACTTTTGTAGTAACTTACGATAATTCCCTCGCGTAAACGGGATTTTGTAGTAACTTACGATAATTTACTCCGCGTAAACGAGTGATATATCGTAAGTTACTACAGAAGTAACGCTCGCGTAAACGTAATATTACGGCAAGACCGTTATTATTTCTTCAATACGAAATTCTAACTTTTGCTATAATTTTCTAATAAAGCATTTTAAGATCTATACTTATGTTACACAAGACGTGCTTTCTCTAACTAGAGTACTTAGAATATTTCTGTTTTTTTTTTTTTTTTTTTTTTATGATACGAATATAGGCTGCATTCGGGGAGCGCGCTATTAGCGCTATTTGCTTATTCTATCCTTGTTTTACATTTAATGAGCGATAAAGATAGAATGATACAATAGCGCTAATAGCACGCTCTCCGAATGCAGCCATAGTCAACGGCGAAAATTGTTTGATTCAAAGGGATAATATTCTGATAATTAAAATTTTTTTAAACATCTTTTTACGAGATTTCAAGGTCAATTCTATTTTTTAAAATGGAATTGTATGATGTTTTTATATAATATGATTCTTCTAATTATTTTACACATAAAGGTGAAATTTCATGGGCAGTGAAAAGTAGCAGCAGATTGTACTGATTGGCTATAAAATAGAGAAGTTCTCGAGTTCCTAGAACTTCTCTATTTTGTAGCCAATCAGTACGATCTGCTGCTACTTTTCACTGCCCATGAAATTTCACCTTAAGGAGGTTCGATGGCTTCATCGGGGGGAGTAGTGGGACGCGTGGGGTTCTAAGGAAAACTTGGCAACAGCGCACGTTTGAAGTAGTAGGAGTGGGTTGGCATTGCTCGTCGCGTGTATAGTGCGTGCTGCTGCGTCTGTCAAACGGTAACCTTAAAAATGACTGATAATCAGTATAAATGGAAAGGAAAGTTCGTGACTGAAAAAAAAAATAAATGTATGAAAATTAGGTCTGAAAATGGCAAAAAGAGGAAAAAAGAACCTGAATCCTCACACATTGTTGAAAGACATCGAATAATTGACATTGACCACGCAGCGAAGAACATGCATTGCTCATTTTGTAAAGAACGTTTGCATCTTGAGGATATTACGAAGGAAATAGTAAAAGGCGCAGCATCAATTTTTGAAGTACAATGCAAAAATTGTCTAAAAAAGAATACTGTTAAAAGTGGAAAAGAGTATACAAATTTTACAAATCCATCAACAGGAAGACCCCTTTTTACGATAAACACTAAAACTCTCGCTAAAACTGCATTAGGTAAATAAATATGTATTATATATATTGTATATATATATATAGTAAAAAAATATCAAAATTATAAATACATAAAAAATAAAAAAAGCTTTTTTTTAAATATATTGAAACAATTATTTATATTATTTCTCATTGTTTATAATACTCTTTTTAGGAGTTCTACATGCTGGAGCAGGTTCAACTCAGCTAAACAAGATTTTTAACTGTATGGATTTGCCAAATATAAATGACCAACTTTTCAAGAAACATGAAAGAATAATCGGACCAATTGTTGAATTTGTAGCTAAGGAAAGTTAATTGTTCAGAAGCAGCAATAGCAGAACGCACGCTCACATTAGAAAATATTATAGAATTGAAAAAGTTATTGTAAGTTTAATGTATATGCTCATTGAAATTATAAGAAAGTAAAATGGGATTACAGTACAATCACATAATCATTAGCAAATGATTACTGTTTGAAAGTATTTGAGTTCACATTCTTTTACAAATTAAATTCTATTAAAATTTTAATTGTGTATTAGGTTATTGCTTTACCTTGCATTTAATTATTACAGAAGTGAACTCAACACTAAATTCACTAATAGCGAATTCGGTTGGACACACCAGTGCGCACTCAGTGCACATTAAAGCTGTTGTTTAATCTCTAATATTTGAGGTAAAATGCAAATATTTTAATAAAATGCCTAATACATATTTTAGCAAATAGTACAATAAAGAATATTGAGGATTTCGTGACTTAATCCATTTATAGTAAACATACACTTTACGTCGATTTGTGTACGATGGCGTTAATGTGCACTGACAATGAGTGCGCACTGGTGTATCCAATCAAATTCGCTATAAATATTGTTCTGATTTATGTTAATAACTTTATGATCATAGACAACGTAATTGGTAAAAATTTTTAGTATCTATTTTTATAAGAGTAATTTTATATGGTAAAGTCAAGCGTTTATCGTGTTTAATCTAATCAATTGCAAA